ACTGTAGGTCCTCCACATTCATGATTTGATGCAGCGTAGCTCATCGTTCAGAATTCATGACCAGTTGCATGGTGCACCCAGGAGGAGTCATTTGCCAAGCATGGGCACCGGTGGTGGCTCAGCAGCATCCGCCTTGATGGGGGGCCAGGAATTGGCATATGAGGAAGACAGCATCCATCGGTTTCCTCCCAAAAAGTTACTGCACCTTTCCATCAAGGCGCATCTCAGGTTAGCCATGTGGAATTGAAACAGAAATCCTGTTGAGGCACAAGCCCCTCATCGCATCGTGGGGCATCTGAGCGAAATCTTGGTGCTGTGGGTCCTGCCATTGGGGCGCCCAATGATGGGCCGGGGTTGGGGGGCAGTTGGGAACCCGATTTTGCATCAATAGGCCAATATTGAGCCTGGATTCAATTCCAAACGATCAGCATGGGGCATGTTTGATTTGTTTGATGATGTTGCAGGATTTGACTGAGTTGTTTAAATTGTCAGTGCCATTTTATGCCAATTTTGCGTAATTTTGCTGCACATGGTTTTTCTTCTGACCTGTTCACCTTTCTGACGGGAAGTGCAAGTCACATGCGCATAGACACACATCTGCCTGCAGACACGTGCGTTTTATCATTTTTCCATGAAGATCATCAGCCCTGAGCACCGGATTTCAGCTGGTCTGCCGAACAAATTGACTGTGTGGCTTTAGACCCTTTAGGATCCTTCAGGTTTAATACCAGGATGCTTGGGTATTAGGCTTAGGTGGTATTTGTATAATAATTGCATATGTGTTCCAAATTGGCTAGCCTTCGGAAAGAAGCTAGATCTTGCCAGTTTCAATGTACCAAATCAGTGCTCACGGACAGCTTGTGCTGAGGTACGGTACCTATCGCCCTGCCATGGCACCTATGAGTGCGCCAATGCGCGCCTTTCCCGTACGACAGTGCCAGGGGCCTGTGATTTATGGAGCGGACATGCAATGGGGCAATGGGGCCATGGGTCCGACCGTGATGGTGAAAAAGGGGTAATTAACGTAGTAACCAAAATGCCAAACAGGTGGGAGTAATACACCTGCTTCTGGTTTATTGCTGGGCGTGCCAGATTCTTTGCTCAGCATGAAATGTCAAGAATTGAGTCAAGAATGTTGATGGAATGATATGTTCATGAATGATGGTTAGGTTGCTAAGCCCGTTCATGATGATGAAAAATCAGCATTTTCCAATCATGTTACATATTACTTGAAATAAATACTTACGCTCACCATCAATTTACTAGTGATGAATGCGATGATCCAAATTCACCCCCTTTCTGATGTACTCCATTATATCTACCTACCTACCTACCTACCTATCTACTGTACCTATCTATCTGTCTGTCTACCTATCTGTCTGTCTATCTATCTATCTGTCTGTCTGTCTATCTACCTACCTACCTACCTATCTACCTATCTGTCTGTCTATCTATCTATCTATCTATCTATCTATCTATCTATCTATCTATCTCAATGATATCTTCCAGGTATCCCTGGCGCATCCAGGAGCCAGGCAAGTTGCATCCCCTCAGGGAGGCTATCCAATCGGATGAGTTCTGAGTCGAGCCATGGCCGTATTGAGCTGGTGCTGACAGACCCCGATGGAACTATGGAACTTACCCTTCAGTAAATTAACATAGACCCTGAAAATCACCAATTTTTAATGGAAACTAGTCTTCCAACCCCTATTTGCCAGGGTCTATGTTAATTTACCAGAGGGTAATATCACTATCATATATCGCTATATTAACAGATATTTTTTAACGTATTATTGATGATGGCACCCACAACGAAGAACATGTAGGAAAATTAGGGATGCTCCGATGGTCGATCTTTGTTTTTTTCCTTCAGGTTGCATGTTGAGTTTCAGGGGTGCAGCAAATTTAAACAGCTTTCGCACGGCGGATTTGGAAATGATCCTGACTGTTGCATCACGTGCACCGAACAAGGAGCACTGGCGACAAAACATGTCATAGCTATCATCAACCGCTTGATTGATGAAAAAAACTAACGAAGGATGTGTTGAACAATTCATCAGGACAATTGTTTCTCTGCTTGATGTGGTGCATCATGTGCACACATCGTCATGTTGCAAAATGTTACATATGTAGGATGTAAGGATTGCTAAAGCCACATGTATACCGTATACAAAATCACATGCGGTGCATTTAAGAATCAGGCGAAGAATGCTGCAGTCTGCAGCCGAAAATGTCGTTTTTATGCACGTTCAATACGAGTGGCCCAGGGCAGAAGACCTGGAGCAGCCTCAGCAAGCTGCAGCGATACCTCTAAGATCCAAAGACCTTCAGTCCAAGTGAGAGAGAGGGAGAGAGAGAGTCTCCAACAAGCAGTCCACGTACAAAACAAATTTGCCCCAGAATATCATAGACTGATTGGCAGAAAAACAAGCAAAACCACTGCAAAAGTATACTTCACATCGAATGAAGATGCGCTTGCAACAGGAGGTTTGTGCTCGGAGTGCCAAAACACCGGCGCCGGGAGGAAAAAGAAGCCGTGCAGCAGTGATCAGCAGTGCAGTTCAATTGTTCAGCCAGCAGCTGCTACTCTAAGAGATGGGCCTCAAACTGTCCAGGTTGGCATCATGACCGCCCAGCAACTGATCAAAAAGCACCGCAATATCGAAAACATCCTCAGGCCGGCTAAATGCGTACAGGGACATTATATGTATGGCCCTGTGAACATGCGTATATTATATTTATATAATATAAGATGATATGATATGATATGAGTCATATGATATGATATGAGTCATATGATGTGATATGATATAATTGCATACATTTTGCGGATAATCTATATTTGCGGATAGTCTGTGTATATATAACTATTTGCATACATACATACATACATACATACATACATACATACATACATACCTACATACATACATGCATGCATACATACATACATACATATATATATATATGTATATATATGTATATATATATATTTGTATCACCTCGCGTGTGGCATATCTCAGCAGGAAGCAGAATCCGCCCTGGTGCCCCTCAGTTCCCTGGTTTCCTGTTCCTGTCGGGGTGAGCCGCTCGGTAGTGGGTGAGCCTTGAGATTTGAAACCAATCGCTGGCTGGAGCTGCTGTTTGTTCTCACTCTTGGTCAGGGGGCCCAGCAATCAAACACGAAATGCCATCAACTAACCAAAGTTATTTAAGCTATTTGGTAATTAGCCTCAAGAACTCACCATGTGTTAATTCCTTTTGAATTATCCATCCTTTCAGAGTAGTTTCCAAGGGATTGATCATAATCACCTGTCCATGACGACAGGTATCCATCCAAATCAATCCATCGAAATCCATCTACATGAACCCATGTCATGAAATTTCCATCGTGGTCCATTTTCTACCCGGGCTGTCCACTCAGAGGGGGTCCAGAGTGTCCTTTGGGCGGAGCTGGGGGCAGGAATTTGGACCGGGCCAAGTACATGGCACCTTGGTTTGATTCGAGGGAGCTAAATTGGAGGTACCTACCATATACAAGGCCCATGTAAGGGCTATATGTGAGGGAATATCCCCACAAGATACGGCAAAGTAGCTTCATTTTCCCTTCTTTTCGGGATTTTTCAAGCTAAATCCTGATCCTAATCCCAGTGTTGAAGGGACATTTCTCATTCCTCAATCCCTGTATGCGAGGGCATACCTCGCATCCCAAGGTGCCAGAGGATTGGAACTTCACTGGCGCAAGGCCTGTTGATGGGGATCGGACACGCTTTTGCCATAGATTCTGACAGGATCTGATGGGTGCACTCACATTCGGCGACAAACTGCACGAGTAATGTTGGACGCTGATTAGTGTAAGCCCCCCTCAAACAAATTTAGTACGCTCAATAACTTGCCATTTTTTGGGGACCAGGTCTGGGGAACTCAGGATGATAAACTTGAGTAAGGATTTCAATTAATGCCAATCTACTTTCAATTGATTTTCCTTTTAAACCTCAAAGAAATCTATTGATAAGAAAGGATTTCAATTGAAATCAATTTACTTTCAATTCATTTGAATGTACTTTCAATTGATTTTCCTTTTAAAGCTAAAACAAAATCACCCCAAAAGTTTTAGTGCACAATAGGGTGCCACCCAAACAATATCAAACAATTACATTATTGGAGGATTTGGGTCACTCATGGGGTACCCCATTGAAAAATTGTTTGGGCGTTGTTTTTTAATAATGGTTTAATAAGGGTTGTCATTTCTGTTAGCAGCTCCGAACCAATCAGATCCCCGTTTTTTTTTAGGGTCATCGCCAGCTAGCTACAAAGACAAACTATGGTCTAGTCACTAGCTATTACTGTAAATATAATATATATATATATACTAGTAGTTGATGTTGTCAATATGAGCCACTGAAGCCCATTGATGACTGAAACAAAGTGAATATGTTCAAAGCCACCAGCGGGGCTGCAGAATCCACCAGCGAATTTTGTCGAGGAGTTGTTTCCAGCCCATGGATTTGAGTTTCGTGAAGAACAGCGACTTGAAGGAGACTCCCCCGCCATCTTGGCGCATGGGGCGCTGAATACTTCCCAATCTTACCACCTTCCTGGTTTCAGGCCCCAAAGCTGAGATGGTACAGTACCAGTCGTAGCACTGCAGGAGAAGCCCATTGATACCGTGGCACTGCGAAACTTGTCTCTTGGTCTTAAGCTGGGCTGGGCCATGCTGGGCCCCAGGGTGGTTACTCATGAGATCTGCTGAGTGACCAGTTGGAGGCATCAGATGACCATCCCAACATTCTCAACTAAGATCCCAACTAATTATGTAGCGCAACTAATTTGGTTTGTTTGCAACTTGGTGTAACTGTGTGATGTTCATTCCTTATGAAGCTTTTGGGTTTTGATCCAATGGGCAGTTGCAAAGTGGGGACCCCAGCTGGCTCAGCCAACTAATCATGCCCAAGTCTGAGGCTGATAGAGCGTCATGCGCTGAAGCCAGAAATCATCAACGACCATTTGCAAAAACTGGTGTTTTTGCAGCTTGTCTTATTGGCTTTGGCGGCAGTGCATCTTAGAGTGAAGGATAAAGGATCATCTGGAGGTACCAGCAACGTTCGGAAGTCCAATCATCATCCACAAGAATGGTACATCTTTTGATGCATCTTGAAAAGAAATGATGCTGCCTATGACGCTGCGCAAGCCAGTTGAGGATTTTGATGGGGGCTTAGACCAGATTGCTCAGTTATCCCAGTTTCCGTCGGATGTTTTTTGGGGGGGAGGAGGGGATTTCGTGTTTCCCTTTTGTTTTTCAGATTTTTCAGTTTGGCTTTGTTTTTTCCCCTTCCCGTTTTACAAGTTGGAAGTGTGTTAAGATCGAGTCTAAATTCACTTAACTGAATGTAATACTAAATTTCGATTGATTTTAGAATATACTTTAAATTAAGTTCACATCAGTTTTAATATAGACTTAAAGAAGCTTCGGATTAATTCAAAATTGATTTAAGATTTAAGACTAATTTTAGAATCAATTTGCAATCGGATAGATTTACCAGAAAAATCAACCATAAAACCAATTTGGAAAAAAATGTGCCCCTTTCCAGCATTTTCCAGCACTTAGCCAAAACATTCAATTCAATTCACAATCTGACCATCGCCAAAGGAGAGGCTGCATGCAGCCGCGCCGTGCCCTGACGCCACATGCCGATGCGCCCTCCGGCCCGTCCGCGCAAGCCTCGCAAGGGCGAGCTGTGCCTCAAAGAGGGGCCAGCCGGTGGCTCGGCATTCAGAATTGGAAGGCGTGTAGAAGGATGGGCCCATGAATCATATCATGGATGGGTTCCCGTTGTGTTGTTCATTGGATTTGGATGATTTGGCCTCTTTTTCTTTCTTTTTCTTTCCTTTTCATTCTTTTTCCATGGTGTAAACTGTGATGTACTACAGTTGCCCCCCGAAAGCCGAGGTAATTCGGATAGCCCTGGGCATAGTTGATCTCCCAAGTCATGTAACCCCATGGGTTCCAAAGCAAGGCCAGCCAGCGGCTGCGCGCGTTCGAATGGACGAGCGGATCGCCCAAAGAAGCAGCTGGGGACGAGGTGTTGTGGAGAGGATTGGAGAGGTTGGTTGTGGTAAAAATTGCGTACCTTTGGCGATAAAAGCATGGAGAAGACATAATGAAACATGATGACACATATAATTATACATAATTAGACGCTTAATTATACTGTACTTGTGCACCTGGGGTATCTAATTGTAGGATCTCGTACGCACATGTGATTGGGTGGGTTAAGCGCCCTCTAAAAACGGCATGAAATTCTCTGGTTCAAAAATCGCACGTTTTTCTGTCTGTGACTCAAGGGTCCCAATCTGAGAATCGAGAGGCAGAACCACCCATCACATTCATGAGGAAGCTCAACACTCAACACCGTCTCAGACTTGCCTGATTGAGTCCAGCTATATCATAATCCAGCTGACGGATACTTTGATGTCCCACCAGACCAACCCCTCACACCTGTGGTCAAAAAGTGCACACGGAAACCCACAGGTACTGTAGACAGCCCCATGTAACATACGCTGTTTATATATTTTACTTTCGAAGTCTGGCCAGTCACAAGGGTATGTGTTTGGAGTGCCATACTGGCAGGCCACCAGCCAGTCCACAAGTTGGCAGCCCTTTGCGGCAAGCATTCTTCAAGGCATCTTGGGACGAGGATATGTGAGGACAAGACAAGCATGATTGGGAAAAAAAAGGATGATTCCACTCTCATCAGCTCATTTGCCTTGACAAGTCTTAACTAATTGTGCAATTCTCATCTGTGTGTTGGTTGGTTGACCATGTTGACCATCACTTGTATGACCAGCACTTGGATGATGTTTAATTAGTTAAGCTCCCGGTCGCCAGCTGAGTTCGGATAACTTATCTTTCATCTGCCAGGGCAAGCGGAACATCGTCGAGGAAGCCACACCTATTGCGAAGAGGCGAAGTTGGGACCCAATCCTGTGGACCGGACATGGACCGTCTGACAAGGACAGCAGAAACTGCGGCTTTGTCACATTCGAAGCATATGATATAATAACTAGATATTTGACGATTTTGTTTAAATATTTTTTCATCCCAACTCTCGAACAAAATGTCACAATATGTCACCATTTCATATAAATTCATGACATGCAATGACATGCAATGACATGCAATGACATGCAATGACCATCAGGTTTCAGCTGCTTCAGCTGGTGAACCAATAATGGGGGATGGTTTGGGCGCTCCTCATAAGAAACTATGTCTCCTGGGGATATCAAATATATTCAAACATCCTATTTGAACATATTGGAACTGTTTCGCAACTGTTTTTTCCTTCAACCAGTTGCCCGTGTTTTTATGAGTCATCTCACTTGAAACATTTCAACACTGCAAAAGACTCCGAACCCGTGCTTGTAGATTCAGATCTCACCGTACAGTAAGACGGGGAATGCGAGGTTCAACAAATCTCTACCACCCACCACCTTTCTAAGCATAATGTTGACCTTTGATTTATCAATAGGGCCCCCCCCCAGTCTTTGCCCCTAAATAAAGTTAAAACCACCATCAAACTTGTTTGTATGTATTGGTTTTCAATTATCACAATTAAAAATTATAATATAAAATGCAATTTCCAAAAGAATAAGGAATCCAACAATTGTTTTAGTATTGATTTAGTATTCATCTGGGCAAATCTGGGTTTAGGGCCCAAAACAATTAGCTTTATTTAGGGGTCATTTATTATTTAGTTTGGGAGTTTGGTTAGCTTTATTTAGGGGGAGTTTTAAAATCGTAGGTGAACATTAGCTACTATCTACAACTATCTACCGTATATTTTCCATCATCGCCACATACGATGGGCTTTCACCCTGTTAGTTATAAGATTATCGGTTGATTTGTAATATGTTATTACGTTGTGTCGTGGTTAGATACATTTTTAAATATATATCTATATAATTCTATATATAATTATATCCGTTCACTCAATGTTGGTTGGTTAAACTTAAACCTCCATTTTTCTCGTTTTCAAATCCCTTTATGGCCGCCAAGTTGGCCATGTCTAGGCGCCGCCATGCTGTGGAGACCCTCCAGCATTGCTTTGGCGCAGATTTGGTGCTGCCCCCTGAGACACCGCTAGAGGAGCTGGAACGCCTGGTGGAAGACACGCAGATGGAGCAGGTTCAGCACATGGTGATCCAAATGGTTGATGGATCATGATGGATGTTTAAACACTGAACCGTAGTTTATAATGGCATGGGCCATGCATGGGGACTTTACAATGGGGATTTTCAATGGGGATGTTTCCTTCTATCAGGGGGTTTACAATGGGGATGCATAGTTTCGGATGTTTGGGGAGGCTTATCGTAGATGATTTACATGATTTGCATTGATTTATATGTATACATTGATTTACATTGACATACATTGATTTACAGTAAATCATTTACCTGTCAAAGATGGTGGTTATTCATGGTTTTCCTACATTAGGTTAGATTACCAAAGGGTATCCAAATGGTTTGAGCATCCGTGCTTACAAAGCGGGGTCTTAGAACTGGGATTGCATCTGGGTTTATATTTGATGATGACTATGATGGTTCATGGCATTTATAATAGGACAAATGATGCCGGGCAACGGGTTGTATAGGGTGTTGGTTTGACATGGTTGAACCGAATCAGGAACTATCCATTCATTTTGTTTTATAGATTAAAGACGTGTGCGATTCACCACGCGGTAAGCTACAGTCGGCGTGACAAGATGTGTTTGGGTCTGAGTTTGTGCTCCTACACCTTTCACACGGCCAAATTCCACTGCAATCATGATTAATCTACAGTAAACATTTCTGAGCTCTACGCAGACATATCCACTAGGAAGATGCTCTTTCAAATCAGCTGTTTGGGGGGTTCCATGTTGAAATCCATATTGAGGCATGAGTTGGAGATCATATTTTCATCCTCCACGCTCGGTCAATCGCTCGAAGCTGGCGACGCAGGTGTCGCAGTGCACGACGGTTCCGGGAAGCAGTCTATTTCGATGCTTAAGTTTGGATTAGGACAGGCCGCCCGAATTGAAGAATGGGCGAGATTTGGGTTCCCCAAAAATTACAATTCGTATAGTATTAATTAGTAGGGAATTCAGTGGGTGCAACAAAATTCCTGATTTTGACCTATTCCCGGCTGTGAACTCTCGTTTTGGGTGTCAGGGTCAGCTCGTTTTTGAGTATTTGCTCAGCAAATGTCGATGCACCATGACAATCGGGATCCGTCCCGTGGACATGCCAAAACGACCTGTCGACGGGCCCGGTCCAGGGTCCAAGGCAGTTGGTGTTGCGGGTTGCAGGATGGCAGCGAGCACATCCATTGACGAGCGAAGCTGAATCGTGATTCGAGGAGCAAAGGAGCCTCCCCCTGCTAGCTGCAGAATTTCACGTGGGATATATATACACAAAGATTTGATGATTTTGATGTGGCGGAAGTATCCAGAAGTATCGAAACCGGTTGGCAATAATGAAACACTTATGCTGTGGCCCAACAAAGGGGCACGACTTCCAGCAGATGATTTTCCCGCAAAAGTTTCTCTACAGTGGAGCCATCACTTGGATTAACCGCCCTTGAGCTGCGGGCTGCACTGGCTGGCAGCAGGATGAGGCACGTGATTGCAGCGTATTGCAGCACATTTTCCAATCGGAAGCCGTTTGGATGCTTCCTCTTGAGGTAGGGGATTGGACGCAAGCAACGCGTCATTCCAGAGGCAGTTGCTGCCTTAAATTCGTCGTGTCCAACAGTTTGTTGGGCCCCTTTAATTTGTGCAACATTCACTGCCCGAGTTCAAATATTTTCTTAGAGAGCGAGAAGTGCTGCACCATTGGGAGACGACCCGCGAGAAAGGGTGAAAAAAAGTAACCCATTCGCCTAGAAATTGGTGCAGGATTTCTTCCGTCAATAGGAGGGCTGGGAGGCCCAAGAGTTTTTTTTGCCAGTTTGACCTGCCACTGTGTTGATGCAGACAATCGCATAGGTATGCTGACTAGCATGCATCACAGCAAACATTTGTGTAAGTTCCGATGTTCCAATAAAAGGAAACCACAGCCACAGATTTGCAACGGTCATCCTACCATCTCCTTTGCAAAGTCCTTGAGGGAGCAGGATTGCCTTTTTTGAGGTAGTTAAGGGATGATTGCTACACACTGACCTAGAAGTAAAATGAAGTCAATGTGAAAATTCACTGAAAACACTTCAATCCGAAGTGAGTGTAGTGTTTATCCATGTTTATCCCATGGGCAATTTGATCGCTCAAATTACACATCTTACATCATCTTACTACTTCCAGATGTTGCCCGTGCCTCGATGGATTCGTTCTACTCAACAGGCAGGTCAGCTGGCCGTCACCAACTAGGAACCTGCTCGCTGGGGGGGTACACCAGCTGCGGGGAAAAAAGTGGGGACCATTGGGACGGCCTGGGACGGCCTGGGACGGCTGTCACAAAATGTGAATGGGAAGCAAACGGCGTCCGTAAGCCGTAAGCGCGACAATGAGAATTTACAAATATATACAAATATGATCATCATATATAATTATGAATATTATGATAGATAACATGGATCATAATGAATCACACATATATATATATATGATTATATATATATATGTGTGGGTGATATGTATTTAAAATCTGTATTTATAATTATTTATAGATATATAATAGATATATACACAATACGAATATGAATATGCGTATCATAGTGTATCATTACGAAATCCCATGAAAAATAATGCTGAGCATTTACCATCATACATGTAAACGTTATTCAACAAGGCCCGGATCGTTGGTTGGACTGCTTGAAAGCTTTCCTGAGCCACAAAGCAAGATCATGGAAGGCAGCAGTGGCATGGCTGTGAGTTTACCATGGTATGCACGCAATCTCCTTTGTGATTCCACTACTACTACAGGGGAAGTGAGTGAAAATCCGTGGCTCAAGATTGACAGGCCTAAATTAAACTTGAACGGCTTAGTATTGAAAAAAATGAAAAAGATTGCACCTCTGGGGGTCCTTTAGCACAGAACTTTCGATGTTAGTCAAAACCTTGGGACCCCAGGAGCGCAAAGATAGCAGGCAAATGGATGTTTATCTCCCTAAACAATATAATATATATAATATATATAATATATATAATATATATAATATATATAATATATATAATATACAGATAGATAGATAGATAGATAGATAAGATAAGATAAGATAAGATAAGAATAGATAGATAGATAGATAGATAGTAATAAAATGTAATAAAATGTAATAAAATGTAATAAAATGTAATAAAATGTAATAAAATGTAATAAAATGTAATAACATGTAATAACATGTAATAAAATGTAATAAAATGTAATAACATGTAATAACATGTAATAACATGTAATAAAATGTAATAAAATGTAATAAAATGTAATAAAATGTAATAAAATGTAATAAAATGTAATAAAATGTAATAAAATGTAAAAAAAATGTAATAAAATGTAATAAAATGTAATAAAATGTAATAAAATGAAATAAAATGAAATAAAATGTAATAAAATGTAATAAAATGTAATAAAATGCAATAAAATGTAATAAAATGTAATAAAATGTAATAAAATGTAATAAAATGTAATCAAATGTAATAAAATGTAATAATAGGTTTTGACCCATCCCCATATCAATAGATACCCAGCGCCCTTGGACCACTCCCGGTGCCGGGATGGCCGCCATGGCGCTTTCCCGGGTGCATCCCGCACGCTGGAGCGAAACTGCTCGTTCACCTGGGGCCAGGCGACTGGGGAGCGCAGCAGTGCCAGGTGCAGCTCGGGTCTTGTTTCTGTGTGAAACACCAATGTTTTAGGCTGGGAAATATAGGGGAAAACCCATGGAAAATCATCGAATATATATTTGGGAAACTATGGGAACCTCATTTGTAAAACTTCAACTGCGGATTCAGCAGGCAAAATTAATCGAAACTGGGCCAAAACTGGTGGTCCAATGATGGGGAAAACCAAGACATGCCTTTAAAGGACTGCATGGGACAAGGATGATCACAAGGATGATCACAAGGATGATCACACGTGTGCTGCCTACCAATACAGCATGATATGCCTCTCCAAAAGACCACAGGAGCTATAGCTACAAGTCATCCAAGTATGGCCCCCACAAAGATGAAATGGAAATTGGACAAAAAGGTTCCAACATGTATATAACTCTTCTTGTGAATAGGATATGGCGGCATGTTATAGATTGATATAGTATTTGAATGTGTTTGGTCTGTATCTGGGCCCCATCTCGGGCTATACAAAAATTTGGCAAAGCTGGCTGAAGTCCTCAGAGGCATCCAGAGCGCCCGCCATAGCGGGCTGTGTGGCGTCGTGCTTGGCTGGATGGCCGGCGTGGGACTCAAAGATCCTGGTCTCACAGGGGTGAGCATTGATCCTCGAGTTCTTTCGCATTGATCCAACTGGATGGTCCCTGAAGAGGCCAAAACCCATGCAGAGAAGCTAAACTAAATTGATCTAAATCGAAACTGATCCAATTTAGCGTAAAGAATTTAGGTCAAAGGAGCCGACAGCACCGCGCAGCCAGCCGGAGCAGGAGTAGACTTTCAAGTGATTCAGGGGCTCTTCTCTGCCCATGCTCATCAGACTATCCCATGTTGTTCTATGCCCTTACCCTTGCTGTTACTATCTACCTTTTGCTGTCTCTTGCCATGACAGTGCCGTAGCCATTCCAGGAGAAGATGCTTCCAGGGCTTTTGGGAAGGCAATTCACTTGGAGACTATATGAATCGGCAGGGAAAAGTTGGGGTGTTTGCGAAAGGATGCGAAAGGTAAGACGGACATAGAATTGAATTTCTTTTGATTCATCAACAACATTCTTACGACTTAATTACGCATGCCATGATGAATATGACATTGAAGGACTCCTATTCAATCTTGAAGATGCCTGCACCTTCTGTTTGTCTCGCCGATGAATTGCAGGATTCCTCTGATTCCAGATGCATGTTTTGACATTCGCCGTTCATCAGGCTTTGGGGTGTTGCCGTGGGAGAGCCCAGGTGCATATTGTTGGTATGTGCTATGTGCTCACAGTATGTATACCAGAAGGCAAATCACCCCACTTTGAAGATCATTTACAGTAATTACACACACACGCGCGCATATATATATATAATATTTTTTTTATTATTTTCATTGTTATTTTATTATAATTGTTTCAGAGCACGGCGATGTTTTTTTTTTCCGCATAGGTCTATCTTATCCTGGTAGTTCAGGTCCCTGATGGCACCTAATGGCCCTCCCAGACTTGGCTGAAGCAAAATTCTCATGAACCAATCTGAACCAACTATAATTTGATAAAAATATGTAAAAACGTGATTTCCTGTAAGTGTTCTCTTCGTTTTTGCATCCTTTCAGATGCGAACATCGTGCGCTCATGCCAAATCCATGGGCCAATCCAAGGACCCTGATAGGGGATATTGTTGGTGAAACTTGCATAGCTCATGATTTTTCAGGATGAATCTCTCAATCTTCATCAATTTTCCCACTATTTTGATCTATTTTTTGAGGATTCTTGGCTTTACTGCTCCACCTGAGGCCCTGGGAAGATCGAGTGCTGGATGCTGCAGAGGTGATCGAGCCTCAGCCACGAGTGGCGCATGCGCAGAAGCTGCGTGCAGAAATGATGAAAAGGCAGTAACAGTGCATAGATGGACAGATGGATGGATAGATTATAGATAAAACCATTAGATAGATGGATGGATGGATGGATAGATAAATAGATAGATAGATAGATAGATAAATAGATAGATGATAGATAATCATAGATTCGATAGATACTCATAGAT